ACCCCCCCCCCCCCCCCCCCCCGCTTTCTACAGTGCTCTTTCTGTTTCTCCCAGCAGACCCTCCAAGGGCAGGGGTTATAACCTTGGTCTTTACCCACCCAAGGTCACGGGGCTGCCATGAGCCCCGTGTGCGCAGTATGACTCGGTTTCCCAGCCGCCCACTGCCGTGGCCCCCAAAGTGAGGCCCTAGGCGCATGCACTGAGGGTGAGTCTCAAACTCTGTCCTTTTTCTTTTTAACTTTTACGATGGCAGATTCCAAACAGACACAAAAATGGAGAAAGTGCATAAACGCATCCCCAGCTCTGACAACTCCAGGCGGGGACTCTCTTGTTTCCGCTCACCACCCCCGTGCCCTACCGTCCCCCGCAGCGGACAAGGCTTGTGCAAGTCCCGGGCACGTCGTTCTATCCGTAAAAATCCCAGTATGTTACTCTAATAGCAACTGCAATACCGTGATCGCACCCAGAAAATGATACGGAATGTCATCAAATATCCAACAGGGTTCACGTAATCTCAGTGGTCCCTTAGGTTTTGGTTTTGTTTTTTTCTATAACAGTTGCCCTACTAAACAAAACCCACGTGTTGCATTTGGTGATGTCTCTCACCTTTCTTTTAATCTGTGGTTTTCCCATTATTTTTTCCCCCGAAACGCATTTGTTGAAGAGACTGGGTGGTTTGTCCCGTCGAGATTCCCACAGTCTGGAGTTTGTGGATTGCATCCTCAAGGGCTGTGTTTAACGTGGTCCCCTGTCCCCTGTAATTCCCCAAAACGGTAGTTACACACACAAGCCTGGTTGGATGCGTGTTTAGTTTTTGCCAGGAACACTTTGTGGATGGCTCTGTTCTTCTATCAGGCAGCGCCTCCCCGCTTTGGGGCTGCCCCTGCCCTGGTAAGGTCCCCGCTTTGGGGCAGGGTCAGGAAGGGAGGCGCGTGGGGGCTCAGGAGAGGGTCTTGCATGCGGGAGGTGCGCCGTGACTCGCGGCCCCCGTCACTGACCGTGTGGGGCAGAGTCTCTGGCCCGTTTGACTCGGGGGCACCAAGCACCTCTGTGAGGTGCTTCACCTGTGCTGTCTCATTAGTTATGCCCCCTTTGCAGGGGAGAAAACTGCGTTGCAGGGGAGGTGATTTGCCCACAGGTAAAGGAGTCGCTTAGGAAGAGAAAAGTGGAGCTGGGCTTCAAACCCAGGTATTTCAGCGTCTGAACCTGTCCTCTGTGCTCCACCAGCACCCTGGGAGCTAAGGCGTGTGTGCACGTGCCTGTGTTCACACTCAAGTGCGTGCAGCTGGAGCAGTGGGCAGGTTGGCCAGGACCCCTGAGGGGAGCCCCAAAGTGGGGGTGAACAAGGCAGGGAAGGGGACTTTGTAAAAACAGACAGATGTGAACCAGAGAGATTGGTCGAGTGAAGCGCAACCCCCCCCCCATCCCCCCCTCCAGCCGTGCTGGGGGCAGGTGGTATCGGGATGGAATCCCCCCCCTCCTCACCTCTCCAACCTACCTGGGCCCCAACCCCAGCACCTGGACCTTCAAGGTTGGAGACGTGCTGGGAGCAGGTGGAATCCCCCAACCCCCTTGAGTCACTTGGCCTGCACGGGCCCCTCTCCAGCTGTAAAATGGGCTTGAGCTCGCTTTCCAGGCCCCTCCCTGGGAGAAGGAGATAAAGAGAGCAGAGAGATAAGTGAGGGCAGGCCCCTGCTGGATTAGCCCGGAATTCCCAGCAGCGCCTGGAGAGCGTGGCCCCAGGGGAAGGAGTGGGAAGAGGAGTTGCTAGTCAGAGGGCAGGGGCCAGTGAGCAGGTCACCCTTCTGTTGCTCTTTGAGGCCCTCCTTCCTCTAAATGCGCAACACCCACCTCTCGCTCTCCCTGGTGGCAGAGCCCAGAAGCTTCCTAAACAGCCTCCTAGGGATCTCCACCCCAAACTAAATCTACCCATCTTGCTTTATTTATTTTTAACTTAAAAAAATTTTTAAATTTATTTAGAGAGAGAGCGCACGCAAGCGTGCATGCGCGCAGGGGAGGGGCAAGGGGGGGGCGGAGAGACTCTAGCAGACTCTGTTCAGTCAGTGCACAGAGCCCCATGTGGGGCTCCAACTCACGAAACCGTCAGATCGGAACCTGAGCTGAAAGTAAGAGTCGGGCACTTAACCGAATGAGCCACCCGGGAGCCCCTAAGTTTTTTAAAATGTATGTTTGTTTGTTTGTTTATTTCTGAGAGAGGGAGACAGAGAATCCCAAGCAGGCTTCATGCTGTCAGCACAGAGCCAGATGCGAGGCTCAAACCCACGAACCATGAGATCATGACCTGAGCTGAAATAGAGTCGGATGCCTAACCGACTCAGCCACCCAGGTGCCCCAGTTCGGCACAGCTGTAATCGACGTTTCCATAAATAAGCTTGTATTGACAGAGACCCACGTCCCTCCCCCTGATTGCTTCCTTCGGGTGAATTCCTACTAGTGTATCACTGAATCAAAGAGCATGAACATTTTTTTTTTTTAATACCCTTCATAGAAACTGCCGGATGGTTTTCTGCCAGTCCTTGTCGAGGCCTTGCTTCAGGGTTGGACGGTGTTCAAGCTGCCGTGTGGGTGGGGCATGCCGGGGGCCCCACTATCCGTGGATAGCTGAGGCTTGGCACACAGTGGGTACACACGATACGCTTACGGAATGTGCAGTCTGGCCTTCCCTCTCCTCTTACAAATAGAGAAAGCGAGGCCCGGCGGTGGGAGACCGGTTCTGGGAAGGTCGGTAGCATTGCCAGGGCTGACAGGTGACAGTGCAGCAACGGCCCCC